TGCCACATAGACAAAAAAAAGGTGCCACCTCATCAATTTGTGTGTTTTTTTTCCACATCAGTATTTTTTTCAAAAAAATATAATTCTCTGGCAACTTAACGTGCCATGTGTCCCTTTAACGTGCCAGCTGTTAATTTAACTGACGGAAGGACCATTTTAGTACCGAAAATGAAAGTTTAAGGATAATTTTGGTACTTTTTAAAGTTGAGGGATAATTTTGGTACCAAAGTGAAAAGTTGAGGGACCAAAATGGTACTTAAACCCCTTTAAAACAATTCTTTTTACCCTTTCACATTTCTTGAAGTTGACATTTACCCTAAGCTCATTATAAGCAAATCTCATCATGTCTTTACATTTTATGAAAGAAGTGGCATAAATTCTACTTTTAAAGTACTCAGCCACCATCTCACAAGTCATCATCTTGTTGTTAGGATTTTTGAAGCAAGTGTGTTCAGGATAGTAACTCTTTACCTTGAAACTGTCGTCCCTCTTCTCAAATGAAGCATAAATCTCCCAGCTACACAAACCAGATTTGCAAACAAACCTTTGCCTTTTAGGTTCATTCTTAATGTGTATAAAAGGACATCCTTTCCTCACAGAATAACGTTTGACTGCTTCCTTGAATTGTTTGGAACTTTGAAACCTCATTCCAACTTCAAAACTAGGGACATCCCAAGCAGGATTAAAGTAGACATTTGCAGCTCTTCTTGGTCTATCTGCTGCCCTAGGAGCAAGAAAAATGTCATCTTCAGAATCTGTTGATGAGTCTCTCAACTTGCCAGCATCATCACTTGGAGCATATTCACTATCTCTCCCATCATTATCACTGTATAAGCACTCATCATTATCAACTAGAACTGATTGGGATGGATGTACTGGATCTCCCTTCTTTCCTTTTTTAAGGGTTAAGTCCTTCCCCTTGTAAGACCCCCTACCTTGTGGCAATGTTTTATACCTCTTCTCTGCAAGCTTGGCCTTTTCCTTTCTCCTTCTGGCGTTCTCAACAGGATCTATTGGAACCCCTTTGCTTGTAGATGTTGAGGTTGGATCTGTTGCTTTCTTTGTGGGAGTAGATAAAGGAGTTGGTTTCTTTGCAACAGTTTTGTACCTAACCCCTGTTTTTGAACCCTTAAAACCTGGAGGAACTTCTAATCCTTCTGTTGGTCTCCTTAGAGACCTTGCAATAGCCTTCACAGCAATGGCTTCATCATCATCTTTGTCACTACCATCAACAGGATCTGCTTCTTCATCCGTTGAGCTCTAATCATCAACAGAACACTCTTCTTCACAGCCACCTCTATTACTGCATTCACATCTTTCAAATGAATTTCCAAATTTACCCTTATTACCACCAATTGGCCTATCTTGGGTTATGTTCCCTATGTCACCTTCCTCTTCTCCCTCATTAACTTCATTGTTGCCATTCTGGCCTACCTTATCTTGTGGTCCCCAATCCTCATAAACTACATCATTATCAATCCAACCTATTGGTAGCGGAGCAATTTCAGCAAAATTAACCTCATGGTCCACATAAAACTCACATATCATCTCTTTTCTGACAATCCTCATAACATCCCTAATACTATCATCACCTGCCAAAGACTTTAAATGCCTAGGCATGCTTGCTAACATTCTTTTGTAGTAAACATTTTTAATCCTAACGTCCTCATATCCTAAACCTACAATGAAATCCATGATGACATCAACATTCAACCTATCACAGTCAAATGCATGTTCTGTACATATTCACCCTTTGTACTCAAATGGAGGTCCAGCCACGAATGTCCCCCCATGGAAAATGGACAAAATCCCCCAGTAATCATCTGCTATTCTGGTCAATGGTAAGACAAACCAAAATTAATGTGGTCGATCAATGATAAAATATATTATATAATCGACAAAATGCACATGCATCCAACACTTACAGTCAATGACAAACTAGAAAACTTTATAAACAAACATTTTCCAAGAGAAAGCGACTACAAAGGCTTACCTTTACTTTGTCCTTCACTTTGAACCCCACCACCAACTGCAACATTGAGTGTGTAAGGGCCCTTTAAAGCTTCAGTATTTTCTTCAGATTCACCAGAAAAGAGTTGAGCCAACTCTCGTCCCGTACTCAAAAGTGAATTTGGTTCAAAGATTTCTTTGAGAAATGAGTTTTCGATTTTTCGCTGCAAATCAGAGTCGAAGATGTAGGTTTTCCTTCTTCCTTTTTTAGGGCTAAATGGGGTCCATGACAAGGAAATGGGAATAAAGGGTGACACGGTGTGTGAAACGGGCGGGATTGGTACACATCAGCATCCAGCATGTGAAAAAACGACACGCTGGCATAGGCTAAACGGAGATTGTGATGGTGATGACGTCGCCTGTTAGATAATGATCGATTTGGGAAGATCGATACTTTTGGGGTGTCATTTGTCCCTGCTTTTTTTTGAGGGGTGGATCCGTTCCTACCCATATTTGTCAGGGGGTGATTTGAGGGTTCTGCCAATTTTTAAATTGATATATTCACGAAACATTATATTTATGGAATTATCTAATCTTGTTTAATATTTTAATTAAGTTTCCTTTATAAATCTAGTTAAATTTATCTATTAATTTTATATAATATTCATTTTCCTTTAGCCTATATATAAGTTTGTATTGTATGCAAAAAATACTATAACTAAAACTCAAGAGTGAATGAACGGATAGAAAGCATTTTTTTTTTCCTCCTTATCTCATTCTCTTATTTTTTCCCCATGTACTTACTTCATCATACTCAAGAATTACTTATTTTATAATAAAAAATTATTTAGTTTAAAAATAAATTCTTCAATACT